TCATCTCCTTCGCTTGTACACGCGACATTGGCTTTGGAAATTTTTACTCAATAATTTTTCTTGATGTGTCCAATTTTTCCACATCTGTAGCACTTTTTGGTGTTCTGTGAATTTCCACCTTTTTTCGTGCTTGTTTCTTCCTCTTTATTTTTGTTCCAAGTTGATGCATTCTTCTTGTTTGACTATCCTTTTGAAAACAGAACATTATCAGATTCAAGGTTCTTAGTCATTTGTTTAGCTAAGGCTTCTTGATTAGAAAGCATGTTCTCCAATTCTTCAACAGATGGTTGTTGCGGCCATCATTGAACGGAAGTGACAAAAGGACCATACTCCTTTTTCAATCAACAAATAAGATAGCTTCGTAGGTGTGACTCGCTAATCTTCTCTTCAGGATCAATCTCTGAAATTTCAACACAAATACTTTTTGCTCGCAAAAAGTAATCTAAATTTGACATACCTCCCTGTTGTAACATTGCCAACTCATTCTCCAAAAGTTGCAGCCTTGCTGTGTTTTTCTTTGTAAATAGTCTTTCGAGTGTGTCCCAAACTTCTTTGGGAGAGCTAACATCACAAACATGATCAATAAACTCCTTGCTGATAGAAGTCCTCAATGCAAATAGAGCTTTTCCGCACTTGATCTTCAATTTCTTTCGTGATTCGGCATTCTCAGGAGTATCAACTAGAATTATAGAATCAGTTCCTACGATCAAATCCCATAGATCCTTACCTTGAAGGTATGCTTCCATACACATTCTCCAATACTTGTAGTTAGTTCCTACAAGTTTTTCTATTCCATATTGAATATTTACTCTGTTTGAGGCTTCCATTTCTACAGAAAACAAAAGCTTTCCCTTCACACTTTCAAACTTCTCAAACAGGATAAAATGATGACAAGCAGACTGAAACGAAAAAAAGTTCCTCCTTAAACCTGGCTCTGATACTATATAATTAAAAAAAAGCTGCAGGAACAGTAATGAAGGAAAGAAAAAGAAAATAGTCGAAAGATGTTGAATAGCAAAAATACTAACTGGAAATTACAGAAGAAAATAGAGAGAACGTACTATGTGACTCTATATTAACTTGAAACCTACTTCTAATATAACTCCTAACTATATATATATATATATATATATATATATATATATATTAACTTGTAAATCTCATAGCAATACTGTCTAACGACTTAGTGGTAAGAAATGGGCCTTGAAAATGCATTCTCACACTAGAGTTGTGAGTTCTTGAACCCCACTATCATCAAAAATTTCTCTTTTTTAAAAAGAAAATGAAGCATATTTTGTCATATTTATCTCTAATGCTATTTATGCAAGTTTTAAAAATAAAAATAAAAATAAAAATTAATTAAAAATATATGATTAACAATTAGAAAAAGCAAAAAAAAAATTAACTCATCTTAAAATAGAAAAGATTATCGTTTCTTATATTGTCGTATGTTGATTAGTCGATTATATTTAAAATTAATGTTCTGTTCTAATATATAAAAACTCTAAATTCCTAATTTTAACTCCACCTATATAAAGTCAACAAGTCTAAGTTAAAACACACATTTATGTATAATGTCAAGAAATATTAATATTAAGCACAACACGCTTTTTGCCGATAGGAAACGATTGAACACGATGTCAAATTGACCCAACAATTAATTAGACTTCGAATGGTTCAATTTCTATTTGACAATGTAAAGTCTGTCACGTGTGAATAAGCTTTGCGCCACTAATTTTGGGGGCCGCAAATTTTTCTAAATACATGTATATATTACTCTATATATTAGGGATAATATACAATTACCTCGTTAATCTATGTCTAAAATTTCAGAGACACACTTATATTATACTAAGGTCCTGTTTCCTCGGAACTTATTTTATTAATAAAACCTTGAGCATAAATATAGTTACTAGAATATATGAATTCAAATTAAAAATCTAATATGATTGTTTTTTTCATAAAATATAAATCAATGCATACGATGCCGATGGCTTTGAGGAATATCCAATTAAAAGCAAAAAGAGAGAAGTACAAACGCAATTTTCAACAACCAAGAAACACCCTCAATTATAAAATACATATCAAGAGAGATTAAAACAATTGGATATATTGGAAATTTAAAAAATAATTTTATTAAAAGAAATCAATTAATTATTTTTAACACCCTAAATCAATTAAAATATAAAGTATTTTGAATTTTTATATGTCAATACTTGTTTAAGTAATATTTGCTAGTATTAACTTTTTAAGTGTTTGACTTATTATAGTGACTACAAATTTAATTTTCAATATATTATTATGTAAAATAATTAAAATTATTTTATTGAAGATATACAAATTTTATGAAGGAAAAAAAAGAGAGAGTAAGAAATGCAAAGATTCAACAAGTCTTTCACTTTACTGTGATACATTTATAGATAGGGGAAACTTTCAAATATAGTCACTTAAAAATAGCCTAATTACTCTTCATAATTATAGTTTGATAATTACAATTCGTAGCTACGAGTTATATAGAGGAGCAAAGCGAGCGAGACTAGGAGAGAGAGGAGAGAGGCGAGAGAAAAGGGGAAAAGAGAGGGGAAAAGGTGAATTGTATATGTATATTGGTTAGATAATTGTATATTATACATATGTATTTGTATATATGACAACAGAGATTGGGAGAGGGAGGAGAGAGGCGAGCGAGTGGGAGAGGAAAGAGAGAGGTGAATGAGGTCGAGAGAGGGAGGAGAGTCATATGGGGAACGTTATTTTTTTTTTGTTGTTAGTGTTTTTTCTTATAGCAATTGTGGCCAATGGTTGTTGGGGGGAAGAGAGAAATGCTCGCTTGGACGTGCAATATAATCCGATCCATCCTAAAGTTTTACTATCATCTTTATGTTCAATTTCAATATAATCAATATGTACGAATTTAGTCTAATAAAGTCGTTTCATATTAAATCATCTGTAACAAAGCAGAACATTCGGGCATAATCCTTAATACAAATTCATAATGCCACATAGCCCTTAACAACAAATTTTTCTTTTCTTAATTTACGTGTTATTTTATTTTAATTTGAATTTCTTGGAACTCTAGAGTATTATAACCAAGAAAGGGATAATAGCTAAGACTGAATCCGAAAGATAGGTAAAAATATCAAAAAAAAAAATCTTTTCAAAATATATTTCAACTATATTTATCTATTTATAATATTGATTGAAAATTTGAATATATACATTTTTTAATTAATTAAATTTAAAATGTGATTAAAGTTTCTGTATTAGATGTTTAAAATTGTTTCTCTCCATAAAATAATCTTAATATTAAAAGTACATTGATACTTTCCTTTTTCGTAATTTGACTCTAAAACACTTTTATTTTTGGTAAAAATTCAGCCAAACAAAATTTGTTAATCAAAATTACTATTCAAATGAATTTGTCTACGAATTGCGTTTTTCAAAATGCACTTTTCTGAAAAGTTATTTTTTAAAAAAATGCTTCTAAAAGTAAGTAATTTTTAGCAACAATGACAAACAAATTCTTAATTTCCTCCATGTGTTACAAAACTTGAGGTACCATGTGCTAAACGTGATTTACACGTAAACAAATTACACATTTTACATTTTCAAATTTAAATAGAACAATTCGAACTTAAATTACACACTTTTAGATTGTCAAACTGAAATAGAACTATTCAAACTTAAATTAATTGTAGCCACAATTTTTTACATATAACGTGTGGGAACCCTTCATCATATGAGACATCAAATAAACGATGTATCATTGTAAATGAACGTTGTTCACTATTTCTTAGATATTTCCTAGATCATTTAATCTGTTTGTTCTAAAAATACATAAAATTTATTAATTCATAAGTCTTTTTCGACAATGCAACTAGACTATTGCGTTCACACACTGGGTTTGACTGGTATTTTTTTTAAATGTTCGATTTATATAAACTAATAATTAAAAAGGAAAAAATTGATATTTCAATTATAATGAATTAAACATATGTTTTCGTAGCAAAAAAAAAGGGGGGGGGGGGAGCGGGGGGAGGGGATGGATTACACACAAAATAGGGCAATTGGCACGTTACATCAACTTAAACATATGCTAATGTTATTGGCATAGGTCTTTTTTTTCTTCTAATTGAACTAAATATTATTTAACCAAGTAGGAAAATAATATGCAGATCTCCAAGTTATTCATTAGATACCTACACACTTCATAAAATACACTGCTAAAACTAGATACATATAATTGTATCTCAATAACGTATCAAACACCACAATAATGTATTAAATACATGTGTAATTTTCCGCTTATTGTAACTTTGCAATTACGTTCATGGCTGATCAGAGGATGTCAGCGCAACAGTGTCTGCTTCACCTTTTGATTCATCGGTGTTTTTCACCGTGCTTAGATCATGAAGTTTATTGATTGATCATTAGTATACAAGGCATGCAACTGATACAATTGTTAATGTCGAATTTGAAAAAGCTATTGGACTTAAAATATTTGCTTACAATGATACCCACTATCTCTCCGCGCAAGAGGTGTCTCTCCTTGTAAGAGGAAATGGTGAATTTGTGGTAAGTTGATTTTAGAGCGAGAAAATAAAAAGCTAAGATTTGTATATAAAGGTATAATAGTGTTTAGGTGTCGGTTGAAATGAATTATTGATCAAAATAAAAATCAAATCAACTTAATTCGATTTTGAAATATTAAAATTAATTAAAAAATGGACAATTTTTTTTATAATTAATCCAAGTAAAGACACGAGAAAACATTACCTTGAAGAGATTATTAATTTATCGAGTATTAATTTAGTAAAATTTTACGTATAATATAAAATGAACCAAGTAGGATTTTCTATTATAGAGGTTCTTAGAACTTTTATTAATTATTAACTCACGATTTCTGTAGAAATTATTATTACACCTATGGAATAACTTATCCCTTTTATTCATCACATAATATTTAAAGCTTGCTTTCCCTATTCAAGTTATGTTTGGAATCAGTAAAACAAACAAAATTGAAGTGATGGTGACTCAACTAGCTAGCTTGTGTCATTTCCACCATCCATTTTATTGGGTAGATATGATGTGGTCGGAGATTTTATTTTTATGGTTTTGCAAATTCTAATCTTTTACAAATAAGCTAGGATTTGGAATTATGAATTTTGCATTTTAGAAAATACGATAAATAACAAAATTATTGAGTTATGCTAAGGAAACGCTATAATTCTGCCCCTATATAAACACTCTGTTAGATAGAAAAGAAATTAGCTTGCCAGAAATAAAGTAGAGTGATATGGGGAACATTAAGTTTTTGTTGTTAGCGTTCTTTCTTATAGCAATTGTGGCGAATGGTTGTTGGGAGGAAGAGAGAAATGCTCTCTTTGATCTGCAAACAAACATAATCAGTTCGAATGGCGAATTGTTGGTTTGATTGGGAAGGTTACAATACGAATGGTTTTACAGATTGTTGTTTTTGGAAAAGTGTAAAATGCAACTTAGCGACAGGTAGAGTGATCAAACTCGATCTCAAAGCAGGTTTTGGTACAGGGGATGGTTGGATATTCAATGCCTCTCTCTTTCTTCCATTCAAGTCTCTGCAAGTTCTGGTATTGTCTTCCCAAAATATTATAGGATGGACAAGAAATGAAGGTATATGTCATTTCTGAATACGGAAACTATATATATATATTTATGTATTACTAACATGTTATTTTGTTATCCAGGGTTCAGTAAACTAAGACAACTTCCCAACCTGAAAGTATTAGATTTGCAGTATAATCCGATCCATCCAAAAGTTTTACTATCATCTTTATGTTGGATTTCATCTCTCGAGGTTCTAAAACTTGGTGTAGATGTTGATACCTCTTTCAGCATACCAACGACATATAATAGCACTAGTATATCCTCCAACATAAACTCTTTAACTGTGGCCATTATAGTTTGCAATATATATAATACTTATAGTATAGTTGTTGTAATTTTTGGATGAAGGCATGAAGAGTAAGAAATGTGGAGGAGGACTAAGCAATTTAAGAGAACTTTGGTTTGAAGGTTATGGAATTGATGACATAAATATCCTTTCTGCATTGGGTAAGGTGTCCTTTCCACAAGAGAAATTCAGAAAAATCAATTCACACTAATTCTAAGTACAATTTACTTTTCATAAATCAAATGCAGGTAGACTGAGGAATTTAGAGAAACTCAATTTGAATGATAATAACTTCAATTCCACCATCTTTTCATCGCTCAAGATTTTTCCGTCTCTCAAGCATCTCAATCTCGCTGCCAATGAAATAAATGGATATATCGAAATGAATGGTTTGTTACGCCTCTTCCACCCTAACCAAATATCAATTTTATTTCTTGGCATATCAAATTTATTTATCTGTGTAGATATAATTGCTTTGAGCAATTTGAAACATCTGGATCTCTCGGATAACAACATAGAGAGCTTTGTCACTGACAAAGGTACAATAATCAATGCGATTTGTTAGTTTAATTTCATTTATAGATTAATTATTTATCTTATTGTTTCTTCTGATTTAGAGATTGATCTATTCATTCTTATATAAAAACGTATATGATTTATTTAAACAGGTAGCAAAAAAAGGAGTACTTCTTTTCGGAGTTTACTATTGGGAAGTTCCAACTCCAACTCGAGCAGAGTTATACAATCCCTAAAATCATTCTCATCTCTTAAATCACTTTCTTATGAAAATAGTGATCTCACCGCTCCCACCATAATTTACGGTAAGCTCAAAATCAAAATTTATATGTCTTGGCTTAATTCTATCGCCACTTTTTTCTTTTGAAATATAATTTTATTTTTTTTACTCTTTAAGCATTAAGAAATCTGAGCACACTGGAGTACCTATACTTGGATGGATCTTCTATAAATGACAACTTTCTCCCAAACATTGGACATATGACTTCTCTTAAAGTACTCAGTATAGCTTTTGGTAGCAATAATGACACCATCCCTAATCAAGGTAATGTATTTTAATTTTCTCTTCTTTTTTCTAACTAATGCCTGCATTTCATGAATATAGTCCTATAGGTTTAATTTTCTCGATCATGTTCAATTGGTTAAATATTTTGAAAAACATTTATATTAAAAAACAAATTTCTTAATAATGACAAATATAATTTTTCCTAATGAAAGTAGGACGAAACAACCGGCCGGGGCCATTGGAGGTATTACAAACCGGCCGCGTCTCGAGACCCCGTGGAACTAACCGTGGTGCACCCGCCTTGAAACAGCGGGACCCGGTGAGTACAGCTAATCGGGTTCGCAAAGCGATACCCAGAAACCACGGAAAAGAAAAACAGTCACATTCTTAGCTCCAACGCACCTCATATTCACCTACCCCTCCCATCCCTCGCATTTTAAATTATTTGTCTGGATTATATACAAATACTTTTTGAAAAATAATTTTTTCTTATGTAGAAAATACGATAAATAAATAACATTTTCCTTCATATCAATCACAACCATAGACATTAAATTTTTTAAAAATAAGATGTGGTTTTATAGAAAGTTGTTTTGGCTAAATGTCTCTGAACCTATATATATATATATATATATATAGGTTGGTGTGAACTCAAACACCTTGAAGAGCTGGATTTTGTAAACAATAATTTTGAGGGAACACTGCCTTCGTGTCTTGGAAACTTGACATCACTTCGACGGTTGAGTTTGGCTGGGAATAACTTACGTGGAAATATAGCATCACATTCTATTTTGAGGAGACTCACATCACTTGAGTACCTCAGTATTGAGGATAACCAATTTGATGTTCCTCTGTCATTCAGCCAATTTTACAACTATACGAAATTGATCTACTTGGATGTTGGTGATAGTACAATAATTCCAGATACCGAATTCCAAAATTGGATCCCAAATTTCCAGTTGGAGTTTTTTGGTATATATGGATGTATAAAGCTTCAAAAGTTGCCTTCTTTCCTTCACTATCAATATGACTTGAGGATTCTTGTTATAGATGAAAATCAATTGCAAGGAAAGTTCCCGACATGGTTATTAGAAAATAACACCAGAATTGCAGGGGTTTATAGTAGAGATAATGCTTTCGATGGACCATTCAAGTTGCCATCGATTGTTCACCTCTATCTAAAGACGATTGATGTTTCTAATAACAAACTAAATGGGCATATTCCAGACAAAATGAGTTTAGCCTTTCCAAAGCTTACTAGTTTGAACATGTCACAAAATTTTCTTGAAGGTCCCATACCTTCCAAAATTAGTGGCATTCATTTAGAAACTTTAGACCTATCTAACAATCTCTTATCTGGAGAAATTCCTAGTGATGTGGTAATTGGTTCTCCACAATTGTTGTTCCTTCGGTTGTCAAACAACAAGCTGAAAGGAAAAATATTTTTGGAGGTCAAGTCACATATATTGTCCTTTTTGTATTTGAATGGCAATAACCTTGAAGGACCACTACCTAGCAACACGTTTATCACATCCCTTTTTATATTGGATGCTAGCAGGAATAATTTCACTGGGGAGATTCCGAGATGGATTACAGATAATACAAGATTGTTACTACTTGATCTGTCCAAGAATCATCTCACAGGTTCGATTCCAGTTGAGATTTGCAAGTTCAAGCTCATTCAGGTCTTAGCTATATCTGAAAACAGGCTTTCAGGCTTTATTCCTTCTTGTGTGAGTTCTTTACCTCTCGAACACATCCATCTTGAGAAAAATCAATTGGGTGGTGGACTGGAACATGTACTTTTCAACTTCTCTTCTCTGATAACATTGGATCTTCGCTACAACAATTTTACAGGACATATCCCACACACCATAGGCTCGCTTAATTCTCTCAACTATCTTCTCCTTAGCCATAACCAATTGGAAGGGCAGATTCCAATTCAGATATGTATGTTGAATATGCTATCTATCATGGACTTATCTTTCAATAAACTTTATGGTCCACTCTTTCCTTGTTTGGGTAACTTAACACAAGCCAAAAAGGATGCAAAGAAAAGAATCACCTATTATTTTTATAAGACATATTGGAATCCATGGTTAACTTTTTTGCGTTGGATATGGTTGGAAAGGCACTACCACAATCGTCATGGAATTTTAGTTGATACACTTTTGATGGATGCAGAAACTGTGGTCCAGTTTTCGACAAAAAGAAACTCATACACTTATAAGGGAAGCATTCTTAAATATATGTCGGGTATTGATCTCTCAAGTAACAGATTAACTGGTGAAATTCCCATTGAGATAGGGAACATGAGCAATATACATACATTGAATCTGTCTCACAATCATCTCATTGGAAGAATACCAAATACCTTCTCCAATCTACAGGAAATTGAGAGTTTAGACCTTTCCTGCAACAGATTGAATGGGAGCATTCCTGTTGGTCTAATTGAGCTGAATTCTTTGGCAGTATTCAGTGTTGCATACAACAACTTATCTGGTGCAGTACCTGATTTTAAAGCTCAATTTGGAACTTTCAACAAAAGCAGCTACGAGGGAAATCCTTCTCTTTGCGGTTATCCATTAGACAACAAGTGTGGGATGAGTCCTAAATTGTCAAATATCTCCAACATTAATGGAGATGAAGAATCATCAGAATTGGAAGACATCCAGTGTTTTTACATTGGCTTAGTTGTGTCTTATGGCGCAATCTTGTTGGGATTATCTACAGCACTCTGCTTCAATCGTTATTGGAGAAAAGCATGGTTTAGGATGATAGAGGCATTGATGTTTTGTTGTTACTATTTTGTCTTGGACAACCTTGTTACACCTATCAAGAGTAGCTGGTTCAGGAATGTTGGTTAGGTAGTTGTTTTAAAATGTCGTTGTTGTCTTTCTCTTTTATCAAAATATGTATTTGGAGTTATTCTATAGCTTAAAATGTGTGCATAGTTCTTCTCATTCATGAGATGCTTCATTGTTATTGTTGTTTATCTAGCAGTTTGAGGAATAATATGATTAAAGTCATGTTTATATTTTGTTGGTGTCCAAAACCTAATTGGGCATAAAAAAGAACTATTCTTGTCCGAAACCTACCTATGCTCGATGACAGACGTGCAGCGGAGTTGTTCCTTGCTATCTTTTCATTTTTTCTGGTGAAAATTCTCTCCAACTTACACCATAGGGGCCACGGATGCAGAAGAAATGCTCTGGATTAAACTGGTGCTCTATCCTGCAATATTTGGATGATAAGTGCATGATCATAATAGATATTTAGCATACATAATTATGTTGTTGCAAATAATTGTTTCATAATGTATCGTATTGCATTGTGATGTCCAAATGATTAGCAGCTTGATTTTGTAGAAACTAGACTTCCAAGTCTATAGTATATCCAAAAATCAGGGGAAAACTCCTTTTGAGTTGACGAAAGTAATTTATGAAGTTGGACTCCAGATCTGTCTGTTCTTCTCAAAGATTAGTGTCGTTTTTGTATGGTCGTAGCTGAATTGGTAGTTAAGAAATTCATCCGTTGTTTTAATCTAAATATTTCTTTAATATTATTTATGATATATTCTAGATAGAACATATCTTGGGTTCTTTTGGTACATATATAAATTTTCTTCTATTAATTGTTATAATAATTTTATATTTTTCATAGATTCTATCCAATATTGTGAATATTCATAGTTCATTTTAATCTGAATTTAATTCTAAATCATATCATTCTATTTTTTCATAGTCTAAATCTCGTAGGTCTATTTCATACTATTGTTGATTTAATATATCTTCTGGTTCGTTATCATTATATATATTTCCCATATTATTCTTCTTAATTCAATTATTTCTATACCTTGAAGTATATTTAAGATTAAAGTTTCATAGCTTTTTATCATTTCGTCATGTATGTATGTGGTCATGTTTGTTGTTATGCGGGGTTTTCAATTATTCCTTCCTATCATATTCGTAATCGATTAACTTTATATTACATTATTATGAACTAGATTATCTGTTTATCATGTTTTTCTGTCACTACTAGCATCGTACTTTAGCGGATACTTCCTTCTTATCAATGCCTCAACTTTGTTTACTCCCCTAAACGGCTTTCCTCGCCTACCGGTTTCAACATTAGGATGACATCGTATAGAAGTTTTCTCCCTCTATTCAGTGTGCTAATAAACTGGAAATCATGATTCAAATAATTCTAATGCATAATAACTAACATAAAATTATTCAATCATGTATATGATATTCAGGAATATATGAAATTAGTTCAGCATATTTTTTGAAAAATATACTTTTGTTTCTTGCGTATTCATGCTATCTAAAATATCTGATTGGATTTCATATTGTTGCTCAATTTATCTATATACTAATTTTTTAGTTGAGAGCACTTACTATACTCTACACTTACTTTACAACTATCCCTACCGTACTACTTTTACACTTGTCTTTTTAATAATATACCCTACCTACCATACTTTACACTTATCAACATATCTTTAATAATGCACATGCATATGTTGACTAAGTTATGTGACTACTATTATTTATTTCAAGACTTTTACATATCTACTTTTGGCTTTTTGTGGCCAAGCACGTTTTTGTGTTTCTTTATCTTCATCTTTATTTTCTTGTCATCTTCCGCCTCTATCTTTTATCTTCATCATTATCTTCTTGTCATCTTCCTTCTTTATCTCTTATTCCAGCTGGACGTCTGGGATTATATTATCTTCTTCATTGCATTTTGAACATATGTGATAAGGGTATTTGTGATCAATTAGCTTGTAATATCTTGTTAATAATTTTTTCGAAATAAATCCAACTTTAAGTGCTCGTGTAGTAGGTCGTTTTTTTGTCTTAAGTAATGATAAAATCCATCTCTGGACTTCATCCATATCTGCTTTCCTTAGCTCCCTTGAATTGGAATAAATCATTAACTGATCTCTTGCATAGTAGCTCCATATAACGTTTCCATTCAAATAATTATTTACTAGTTCTTGTATAATAGTTGATATACCAATTATTCTCTTATTGGCATAGAAGCTTGGTATCTTACTTTTTTGTACCTCTGGTTGTTGTTCAATATCTTTCAGTATAATCATATCTTTTGTTAATCCTATCTTGACTACTTGTATCGGAGGTTTTATCTCCTCGTATAATATCTCTGCTGTTTCTGTATAAAATTTTACATAGAATGAATTTCCCTTAGTAACTCTCTTATAAGTAATTAATGCTTTATGTATCTCCGGCATTCCACTTAGTTCCTCTCTGTCATCTGTATATACTGTATTCAGTAATCCATAATTGTAACATGTCCTAACTAAGTTGGCGTTAGTTTTCGATTGTGCAATCAGTTTATTATAACCTTGTAATTTTTGGGTAAAATAATCCTGGTTGGTTTCTTGGGTTGCAGTAGATCTAGGTTTAAGGTTTAAAAACGTTTGGATTTTGTATATATTTTCTATATAGATTCGCGTAATATGGTTATATGTTCTTTTGTCATGGTGTAGGCTATTTGCGTAAGTAGAAGTTTGTGGTTATGTAGTTAGTATGTTTTTTGGTGTTAGCCTCGAGGTAAATGGTTTTTCGAATAATTGGTTTAAGTTTGAATTCTTATGTCTTTCACTAACTCCTTGGCTTGTACCTGCAGCTGTATTTAAACAATTGTTATGGATTTTAGGTGTTTTCCAACGTCACCGTTTAGCTCTGGATTCTTTCTGTCTTCCGATTGACATAGTTCCGCATTTTTATAGTCATGCTGCTTGCTGACTTATGCTAGCTTTAGACTTCAGATTATCTTAATTAGTCTTTAGCTTTTGTATCTCGTTGTCCATACTATCCACTTTTGTACAAAGTGTAGTAATAGCTTCGAGTATCTTTCCAATTGTATCTTTTTCTTTAGTCTCAGTATGAGTAGCTTTGTCGTGATAAGTAATCTGCAATAACATTCTTATCAGTTTTTATTACTTCAATTGTAAATGTGAAATTTAATATATTTAATACCAATCTCCTTATTTCTTTTGTTGTTATCGAATCTTGTATTTTTCTTGTTAGCCACCATTTTACTTGTGTATTATCTATTCTTATAATGAATTTGTTATATACAATATATATGGTTCAAATGATTATAAATACTTATATACTGAATATAATTCTTTTCTATTTATTTTCCATTTCATTTCTGTATTATTAAATGTTCCTCAATAATACCTGCAACGATATTCTATTGTATTGACATCATACTTGTACTTTAATATTCCTACATAACTTTTTTCACTCGCATTTTATTCTATTATATAAGTAAATGTTTTGTTTTCATCTGGAAAGTATACTTTAGGTAAGTTTTACATAATAATTTTACCTTTTGTATTTTTATTTGTATTTGGTCCTTTTTATCAAACTGATATTCCATATCTTTCTTTGATTTTTGTTGTAATGGTTTTAAATTTTTTGCTAATTTGGTATGTATTCTCTTACTTGATTTACTAGGCCTAAGAATGATTGTAATTTCCTTTTTGTGTCTAGTTGTTCATTTGAGTTAATTATTTTTTGTACTATATGTATTTACATTTTTATTCCATTTTTATCTATTTGTATTCCTAAGAATTCTATTTGATTTTTTATTATATCTGCTTTCTTTTTAACTTAGACTTATACCCGAATATTCTATTATATGTTTAAATTTTTCTAATAATCCTACATGTTCATCTTGTGTTTTGGAATATAATAATATATCATCAATGTATATTATACAAGTTTCTGTTTGTTTAAAGTAATTGTCCATAAAGTGTTGATATCTACCTGGAACATTTTTATATCCAAATAGTAATACATTTCATTCATAAAATCCTTGTGGTACAGTGAACACTGTTAGTTTATTAGACTCTTCTTCTAGTTTTAAGTGATAAAATCCTGATTTACAATCAAATTTGCTAAAATAATTATATTCTTGTATTTGTCTTATCTTTAGTATTTTATTTGGTATCGGATAATTATATGTTTTAGTTTTTGCATTTAAATTTCTATAATCAATAACCATTCTGTTTTTTTCTCTTTTTTGTTCACTATGTTTATTTACTATAAATGCCAGACTTGTGTGCTTACTATTGCTTTCTTGTATATATCCTTTTTCTAATGATTCATTTATATGTATCTTAAATTCGGTTAAATCATTAAAATTATATTTTAATGGTTTTGGGTTATTATACTATTATTATCAATTAGCTCAATTTTCACTTTTGTTTTATGTTTTTTCCATCCTTGTAAAGGATCTTCACTATATAATAATTCTAACTTATCTTGGATTATTTTTACTTTATTTATAGAGAATATAATTAATTCTATCTTAGTGTCTTCTTCTTATATATTTTCTAACTTTTGGGTAATTTTCTCACTTCCTTTTATCCATTCTGTTGTTTTTCGTTCTTTGTCATTTACTCTTTTTGCTCCTATTTTTTGTTTACATGGTGTAATTGTCACGACCCAAACCGGGTTGCGACTGGCACCCACACTTACCCTCCTATGTGAGCGAACCAACCAATCTAAACCTTACCATTTCAATGTAATAACAGCAGAAAATAATGCGGAAGACTTAACTCATTAATAAAATCAATTCAATAACTATCAATATTCAACATCTATTATTCCCAAAACCTGGAAGTCATCATCACAAGAACATCTACGATCAAATGACTAAACTAAGAGTATTCTAAAAGCTAAAAATACATAAGAAGCTAGTCCATGCCGGAAGTTCAAGGCATCAAGACTTGAAGAAGAAGATCCAGTCCAAGCTAGAAGCATTAGCTCACCCTGAATTTCCGATGTAGTAAGACTGGCTTGAATTACTGTTGAGTTGAAGACGATGGCACGTTTGCTGCAATAAACAAGAAGAAAACATAAAAGTAGGGGTCAGTACAAAACACGGGTACTGAGTAGATATCATCGGCCAACTCAAAATAGGGAACAGTATATATCAATATTATCGTAAATCAACTATAAAACTCAACATGTAGCCACAACAAGTATTATAATCATCAATAAGTACCATCAA